GTTTTTGAAACGAATTTTGAAATAGGGCGTTCTTGAAAAGTTTTTTGAGATAGAGCGTTTTCGAACTGGCTGCCGAGATAGGTCGATCTTCCACTCAGCCATCGATATATTCTTATCACGAAATCATTTACATATTCAGCAAGAGAAGCAAGAGTATAAAAACATAAAATGACCTAACAAATTATACGCAGAATTATTACGATTATGCGTAGTCCAATTCACGAAATGATTTCATGGATCTGAGTAAAAACTCAGTGCCTTAACTCCATTTCGCGTATAATTGAAATCATTAAATCGTGTTCATGCACTCAGTTTTTACTCAAACGCATGAAATGATTTCATGAATTTGCATACGCATAATGAAAGTAACGACAGAATGAATTACATTACACATCATTTTAACATAATGCAAGCCTTAAACGTTGCGACCGTTAGTTCAGATCAGACAACAGCATGAGTTTACTCACTTCCATCTAAACAGTATGAACTCATTGCTGTGAACCCTATAAGGTTAGTGAGAAACACCGTACAAACAGTAAGATTCATAGTTAGTTTTGAAATCAATGTTTAGCTGCAGTGTACTCATTTGATTTCAAATATGGCATTAATATTCTCTTTCCAAATCAAGTCAAGCGAGTGAAAAATGCTTCATGCCCATTGACTTCAAACAATTAGTAGAGAACACGACAATTTTGAAAAAAATGGATATTGATGAAGTATTTTTTTAAATATATTAGTTTTACTAAATTATTTAGTTATGCACCTGACGTACATTTATATAATTAGTCTACAAAANTTGAAAACTAACAGATTTGCACAAAATTGTACTTTTTTATACCCGCCAGCAAAAGAGCTCAGGAACTATACCGAATCTGAGCAAAGGAACCCAAAAGAGAAATGTTTACAAATTATGAGAACGTTAACTGAGAATTCTGACAGTACAACGGAACCACAAATTGCGGATACACCTTTGTTACCTTCAGACAACTTTGAGCTGTTTTCAGGTCTTCTTAAACAACCTACCTTTGTGAGCAGAACTGATAAAGCTACTGCAGAGCTGCGGCGATATGAAAATATTGAGGTATATTTTCATACGGACTTCGATATAATTAATTGCTGGGAGGTACACAAATGCTAAATGCCGCTGCTGCATAAACTCAGTCGTAGAGTAATAGCCACTCCTTCAACTAGCGCATCGTCAGAAAGAGTTTTTTCTTCTGCTGGAAATGTTATTTCTGACAAAAGATGCCACCTTTTGTCAAATGATGATGCCCTTAATCAGTTGATATTTTTGCATAATAATATGCAGTTAGGAAACCAATAAAATTAACAAAAATTGTCTTTACAAATGTTTTTTCTTTGATACTTTCATTACAGCAGTTGTGCCATGCATTTGTTTTTCAAATCAAGCACTTGTTATTTGAATCAAAGCACTTGATAGTGTGAATTACTCACTCAACCGACAATGTTTTTTTAATGCTATCGCACGTTATGTTTGGAAATAAATGAGTGCGAGTGT